AAAATTTAAAAAAAAAAAGAACAAGGAGAGTACTTCCTTCTATATAGGGGCCCTCTCGGGAGGAGCTGTGTAACAAGACTGAAATTATTCAAGTAGAATGAAAGATTACAGAATCTCAGGTAAAGAAGGAACTAACATCTGAAGAGAAATGGAGAAAGAAAAAAAGTATTTAAGTGACTACAATGACAAACTTTCTAAATGAAATTTTGGAAAAATGACATCATTTTTGGTTCATTTTACAGCAGATGTTGCATCAATGAAACAGACGAAGCCATTGAAGTTTTAAACTGTGTTAGGCTTTAAGTTTTAGGCACTATTTTCAGAATTTTCATTTAGCTGGGCAAGATACAACAATATTGTAAAAATCTGTTACCTACCTAATAAAATGAACTCATTTATATATATTTTCCTTAAAACTGATTTTTCTTTTTCTTTTTTTTTTTTTTTTGCGGTACCTGGGATTGAACTCAGCACCCTGTACTTGCCAGGGAAGCGCTTATTCCACTGAGCCATCTCCCTGGCCCCTTGGATTTAATTTCATTATTGAAGCTTTCTTTAATTTTTCTTAAGCAGCCATTCCTTCCTCAGTTACCTTTATTTTTTATTTTTATTTTCATTTTTCTTTAAAATTTTATTCATCTATCTGTGTGTGTGTGGCCAGCCCAGCCCACCAGGGGGCGGGGCCGGCCGGCACGTGGCGCTGGGGGACCGAACCGCGGTCCCTGTGCCCTGCTAAGCTTGTTCCAAGCAGGTGCCCCAGACCACCGAGCCATCCCACCAGCCCCAAAACTGATTTTTCAAAAAAATATCATTTACCTATTACCGGCAGTCGGTCTCGATCAAGTCTTACTCGTGCAAAACCATCCTACAGCAAAAACATAATTTTTAAAAGAAAAATGAAAATTTAGACTTAAACTTTAAAAACTACTGAACGAAAAACAAATTCCTGTGTGTCTTTCTGACAAAGCTAATGCATCTTAACAACGACACGATACAGACAAGACTTCTCTAACGTGCCTCCTCACAGGGCCTTATC